CTGTTATAACTAACACCTTCAAAAGTGTTTTGCATTTTAAAAAACTCCTTTATCTATAGCAGTGCAGGCTTATAAAAACACAGACCCCAGAGCCCTGCACAAGAATTTACCTTTCTCCCAAGTTCCTAGGTGATGTTGGGGGTGGGGGTGGAGGTGGGAGGTGGCGAGGACCCCACTTCTAGAACCACTGAGGGAGACAGACCACTGATTGAGGCTGATCTGTCTCTCCAGAGTTGAGAGCTTCTCACAGCAGAATGTGAACGCGATGTTTGCCTCTCGCTGCCTTTTACCCTCTCAGGTAAAACCGAAAGCCTGGTACGTGCAAACTCCCCTCCCCCTTCCCCAAAAGCGCTCTCCTCACTTTTAGGAGAGGATTTTACAACTCCTCCTCACTCAAGTGTAAATGACTAATAAGGCTGAATGCGTTATCCCACCCGAAAGCATCTGTTCTTTATCCAAGAGCAGAGCCTGAATGAATGGAAATTCACATATCAGTGTTTTAGGTGTTTTAGGTGATTCAGGAAGCCCTCTTGGACCAGCCTCCCAAAAGATCACATATTGTAAGCAGCCGCTAACTTTATCTAAGTCCCAAAGGGACTGGGTCTTTGTCATCATTTTCTGGCCAGTGCCCACTATAGTGCCAGGCATTAACATCATACAAATGTATGATGCAAGAATAAAGGTGAATTAATGCTCTTGCAGGAGGAGAGAGAGGTGGGTCCTTTGCCTGTAGCAGATCTGAGTTGAAAGTCAAGCCCTTCTAACTCTTCACCAATGACTCATCATAATAAACAAACACTAACTAAGCACCTAATGCATGTTGGCCTCCGGCTGGACCACAGGCCAAAGGCAGCTCCCCAAACTGACCAGTTCACTAGTCATTCAAGGTTCCATTCATGCATGCATACAAGTCACTGCTGAGCACCTGCTGTATGCTAACTCTGACTACAAATAGGAAGACGGCACAGCCTTGGTCCCTTAAGGATCTTGCCTTGCAGCATCTCAGGAGCTGTATGCAGGGGCTCCGGCAGGGGAAGCACCGCAGCAGGGAAGGCAGGGAAAGCTCGGATCTTCTAGAAAAAATCCTCGGGCTCTGGGCTGGTGAGTTGAGATGATTCAGCAAGTATCCCAAGGATTTGGAGGAACCAAAGGCTCAGAGTAGTCAGGAGGGCCTCTCTTCCTGGACTCCCTCCAGAGCCTGCCCACCACACTCACCACTGCCCGATTCCTCGGGGCCTCACGGGCTTTAAGGAAAGAAGGCCATTGTGCCCACTTCATGGGTGAGTAAACTGAGGTCTGAGTACCCTCAGCAACTGCACAAAAGACCATGTCGGAGTAAGTGGGACTGGAAGTCTCTTGTCTTCAAGCCACATTCTCTCTGGGGTCCCCAAACTGTATGCCTGGCACAAAAGATTCACCTTCCTCTGTCTCACCCCAATCTTATTTCAGTCGGGGTGATTTCACTGTTCCCATCACCAACATCACCCCCATTACTCATATTTGTTGGACTCCTACTCCATCCCAGGTTCAGTACTAAGCACTTTGCAAGAATTAACTCAAAAATTCTCACAGTTCCTTTATTATCCTTACTTTAATGATGGAGAAATTGAAGCCCAGAGAGGTGAAATGACATAACTAGAAAGTGCTAGAACCAGGATCTATATCCAAGAGATCTATTTCCAGAGTCCACACTCTTAAACACCATTACTGTACTCCCTTACTGTACCCAAGGAAACTGAGGCTCAGAGAGGTTTAGGGTCTGGCCTGAAGTCACCCAGCACTGGAGTCAGGATTTAAATTTAGGTCTGGCTGCTCCTAGGGTCCCACACTGCAGTCCCTGGAGTCTCAAAAGTCTGGTTAAAGAAGCAGACAGGGGTGGGGAACAGGAAGGAGAGGGGTCTATTTCTGTGGCGCCTCCTTCACTCTCCCAGCGCATCAAGGATCTCCATCCTGGGTGGCAGCTGAATAATTTAAGCTCAGCAGCTCCAGCCCACCACTACTGGGGCCCGGATTTATTTTTATCCCAGGTTACAGCCATAGTGCTTAACAGAAATAAACCATGCTGTTCGCTTCTCACCGCCTTTACATCAACTCCTGATTTGTCTGCGTTTATGACCAGCTCCCCTCTCAAAGGGGATCAAGAGCAGAAGACAAGGCCATATGTCACAGTGGGTTTTTAGTAGAGAGTCACACACTCCCTATGACCCAGAGAGAGAGAGAGAGGCAGGAAGAAAGGGTCAAATGAAGAGTAAATACCACACCCTACAAGCATCCCCCAGAGCAGCCCTCCTGAGCAGCCCCACAGCTTGGACAGGCAGCCAGGATGTGAACAGGCAGCAAAAAAAGAGAAAACAGCAGAATCCCTGCTGCTGCCTCCCTCTCACCAGCAAGAAAGGATGTGTCCCCAGTTGTCTCCATGGCTATGCTTCCTGATCACCAGCACAGGCTGGCGGGGGTTGGGGGGTGTGTGCTGCTGGAGCCAGGAATCAGGGGATAATGCCTTGTCTTCATGATAGTAGACTGGTATATTGCTGTGCATGACTTGCTGTGTGGTCTTGGGCAAGTTGCTTTCCCTCTCTGGGACCCTGAAGGGTTACACTAGATCAGAGGTTCTGAACTTGAGGTGCTCAGGTGGGCATCAAGGTATATGCATCTTTTCAGAGTGGAGGTTCTCAAAGGGGTCCTTGACGCCTCCCTGGGATAAGTCTCTGCAGAGCCTTCAAGCGATGCAAAACCTCTATGCCTGTGCAGCTGAAACCACAAACAAAGCAGATCCCTCTACAGTTGACCACGGGATTCTAGGAACCTTGCAAAGTTCTCACAAGAGACCCTCCTATCCCGATTCACCCAGACAGAACCTTCTCAACATACATGATAAATTCCCAAACACAGTGTTAACCTTTCCCAGAAGCATGAGTATGCATGTGTGCTACACACACACACACACAATCACACACACATATTCATCACACAGTCACAGAACCTTAGAGCTGGAAGGGGCCTTGGGGGCACCTAGACCAACAACCTCATTGCACAAACCGAGGCCCAGAAAGGGGAGGCAGAGCTGGGGCTGGAACTCAGGTCTCCTGATCCAAGTTCAAGGCTCCTTCCAGAAGCTTCTCCCCCCACCCCACCCCCGTGCACCACAATGCACCATTTCAAATGCGATGGGGGAGGGAGGGCAGCCTGTTGGCTCTTAGCCACCCCCAGGGAAGTAAGGCTGGGAGGCAGCAAGTAGATGCTTGAAAGGCACCCACATGTGGACAACCCAGTCTCCGTGACTCCTGGTGGGCTGGCAGGCACTGCGTGGCTGAACTGGTTGTTACAATAGTGAAATATTCCTGTTCTGGATGGTGATATTTCACTGTGGCTCCCTTACCACTCCTCCTGTCCCTCCAACCTCCCCATAATCCAGCAATCAAAGAGTTAACACTCAGCTCAGCAGGAGATCCCTAAGATCCCCCACTTCAGGACCCCAGCTATGGTCCAGTCTGACCAGTTAGTGTCAAATTCACTATTTTAAACATCACCCATGGACAGGTCTGTGGCTCCTTATTTGAACCAAATTCCCCTACATTCATCATTCATACTTAGGCTTCCCAGGAAGGAAACTAAGGCATCTTCCTCCTCAAGGTCACCCACCAAGGAAAGCCTAGAATTTTGAGGACCATTTACTTTGGCACTAACCACCAAGCAACCCTTCCTCTCTGTCTCACATGTCCTGCCCAAGCAGTCATATGCCCCAGGATTTCAGTGTCCCCACTTGGTTCCGAGGCTGGAGAGAATGACTGAGTGGGCTCTGCTTACATTTTGGGCTTACCAGTCTCTGGGGCTGAAGTTTTATTCCTCCCACCTCCAAGAACAAGAACCAAAAGAGGAAATCCTTGGGGGGTGCAGAAGATTGAAGTCGCCTCTGAGATAACAGCAAAGATGCTAAAAATAAGGACATTCATTTCCAGAAAGGTAGATGTAATCAAAGCAGGAAGCAAAGAAAATCCCTTTTTGATGGGTCACGGATTAGCAGCAAAGACATTTAAAATTAAATATGAGTTTTGGATTCAGTTACAAGGAACCTCCCCTTCCTACTCACTAACAGGTTGATGCAGGCTTATCTCATCAGAATAAAGAAACCAGAGCAGGATATGGTCTTCCCTGGAACAGATATGAAGCTGGAGCCTGGAGCTTTTCCCCAGAATCTGAACAAACCATTTCCTCTTCTTTCCCTACTCTGAGACAGGCTCAAGGATGGAGTCTCCCTGGCTGGTGCCAGGATGCACCCTCTATACAATCACTTACAGGTTATACCACCTGTGAAAATAAAACATTATCTGCTCAGCAGGCAGCTGGTCACTCCCCTCTGGCCTGCCTGACCACTCATTCCAAGCAAAATGTGGTCTTTTCATGTCTCCCAGGTCTCTCATCTCAGGAAGCTTAGAATAGCCAAGTTTGCAAAAAAACTACCACAATTAAATTACTCAGCTGTTCCTGGAAGATGGTAAAGTCTGAGCCCATTCTTATGCATGCTTCACCTGGTATGCCTAGGTTACCCTAGACAAGAGTTAATCTTCCAGCCTTAGATGACCCTCTCCCAGTCAGGGTCAAGTTGCCCATCCACTAGATCAACACACTGAGAGGCCCTCCAGGCCAGGTTGGCCAGCCCCACAAAGCGTTAATTCACTCTGAGAACTGCCGGCTACTTTCAACAGCTTTTGCTGCAAAGGAGACGACAAATTGGGCAGAAGCCACAATTTTGATTGCATTGCCTAAAACATGAGCATATTTTATCCAACCCTGGGCGGTGAGCCGAAATCTCATTTGGCTTTGGGGTGTTGCTTAGGTGATCAAACACTGCAGAATGTGGGCAAATAAATGTGGTCATTCCTCAACACCCCTCCGCTCCCACCTACCCTCTGTCCCACCAGCTCATGTACACACCTTGTTGCAACTGGGATTCCGATACCCCTAAGCCCATTTTCACGATTGAGAAGAAAATCACTTACCACAACACCAGAGGAATGCAGGGGGAATGGGTGAGCCAAATTCTTGCCAACTCCTCTCTTCCCTGCTGGGTGGGAATACGCTAACTCCGGATGACTTGGTTTGAAAGCTCAGCAGAGGTGCCTGAAAGACAATTGTTCACTTGACTCTCCTACTTTTCCCAAAATAAAATCAAAGCAACCACACACACACACACACACACATACACACACCAAGTACCCACACACACACACACACACACACACACACCAAGTACCCCTAAATCATGCAGGACCACGATGAAAAGAAATACCACTGCCGGAAGAGGAGAAAACAGACAAATCAATGGACAAGGCAAAGACAGTGGCTCCCTCAGACTGCTCTGCACATTTTTGCTCTGTGAATCTCTCTCCCGCTCTCTCTCTCCCAGTCTCTTTCTCTCAATCTCTCACTCTTTCTCTCCTCTCTCCCTTTCTGTCTCTCTTTCTCTTTCTCTCTGTCGTCTGCGTAGGCAACTCCCGGCTGCTGGCAGTAGACGAATCAATTGCTTCCCCAGAACCGGAATCAGTGGCGGCTGCCACCACTGCTGCAAAACCCTGTGCGAGCAAGGGAGGGGGCAGCAGCTTCCCGACGCAGGGGGCACCAAGCCTGCCTTCCACTCGTGATTTATGTGTGAGGTGCCTGGAGAAAGAGGTGGGAAGCCAGGAGGAGAGGTTGGGCGCACCAGAGATCCTAGCTGGTCGAAACGGCAATCAGGAGATTGGAGATCAGCACCGCGGACAGCGCTAAGATGCGGCTGTGAAGGGGATGGGCGGGAAGCGAAGCTTCAGGCTGCAAAGTTAAGTTATTGGATGGTTAGAGCAGAAAAGGGGGAGTCCAGGGGGAAGCAGGGGGGACGGGACTTCTCGACATCACACGGTGAAGTCAGTGACAGCTTACCTACCACACACTTGTTCTAGTCTTGTCGCTCATTCTCGGAGAAAAGAAGCTGTAACTCCACAGCCCCTTTCCCACACACACCCCCATTCATTACTCATCTCTGCTCAGACAAGAGTTTGACCCCAATGTGGGAGCCTCCAAGTGGTTCCCCAACCCCCAAATCAGCCCTGCTGACCTGTCCTCATCCACATTGCTGCAGATTTCTGACCTGTAACTCAGGTACCTCGGAATTCAAAGCAGGAAGATGAGGCTCAGAAAATGGAAATTTCTAGGGGCAGAATAGCTTAGTTGAATAAGCACCTGACAGGTTTCTGGAACCAAGTCTACCCCCATATAACCTTGGAAAAGTCACTTAATGTCTGAAAGTCTCATCTGCAAAACGAGCACGACTCTCTGATTTTCCTTAAGATAGAAAGCAAGAGGTTAAAAAGCAATAATAAGAACACCGAAGTTGCGGGCTGCTATAATTCCATGATCTATAACCTGTCCTGTGATTCAAATGTTTTAACAAAGGGAGAAAGAAATCGACAGCCAACCCAGAATGATAGGTGCTGGCCTCACATTTCAGCCTGTGGTTTGAGCAGGATGAAGTTGGGAGATTATAGGAGGTCTAAATTAGACAATGAGCCTTGGCCAAAGACCTATCCCCAAAAGACCCAGACTTGCCTTCTGAAGTGAAATCACTATATGGACAAGAAAATAAAACCATTACAAGGAGAAATACATGAAGAGAAATGGATTCCCGTGGCTTCCAATGTTCCAGATCACGAGGGTCTTATTCTTGCTTATTGTGAGGAACAGGAACTCTCAAATAGACCAAAAGCTGTTTAGTACTTATCTGCAAAGTCAATGAGAACCCTCTCTACTGGGGACTCTCCTCTCATGTGTCCCACTTAGGTGGTCCAGGATGAGCTACCACATTTGTCACTTAATCCTCCCTTGAAAAGGAGGACTTTAAATGTCAGGATCTTAGAGACCATTTACAGCTTCACTTTATAGATGACCATGATGATGGTGATGATAATGGTGATGATCATGGTCTTGTGCTGATGAAGATGATTAGGTGGTGGTGGTGGTGATGACAGCTACCGTTTATTGAAAACCAACTACACGCTGGTCATTCTGCAAGGAACTTTACGTTTGTCATCTCCTCGGATCCTCACCATGACCTTTTGAGGTTACTATTATTATCCCCATTTTACAGTTGAGAAAACTGAGACTCAAGAAATTAAGTCCCTTGCAGAAGGTTACACAGTGAGTGGCAGACACAGGATTGAAACCCAGGGCTGTACGACTCCAAAGCCCATGCTTCAGAATGTCTTTCTCTGAGTCAAGTTCAAGCGTATTCTACAATTTTTTGGCAGATCTCATTGAATCTTTTGTAAGAAGACCTTATTACACAGGTTCAATGCCCTCACTTTACACATGGAGAAACTGAGGACCAAACAGCCAAAAAGCCAGAAAATGGCAGAGTTGATTCTGGAACTCAGGCCTTACAGATGCCAGGGTCTTTGTTCTAGTGTCTAGAATAGTGTCAGGCACATAGTAGGTCCACAATAAACATCTCAAGAAGCCCAGAGAGGGACTAAAGTCATACAGGATGCTGCTAGTGAAATCAGAATCCAATTAGCCCCCAGGCCTTTTGGTTCCCAGTCCCAAGGAATGTCTACCTTACCCCACAGCCTCTCTGGCATTAGGCACATGTTCTGGGAGGGCTTGTCATGAACTCAGAGCACCCTTAGGGAATGAAAATAGCTACCACCTGCTAAATGTTTAGACACCTACCACCTGTACTAAGCAGATACTACCTCCAGTCTTCATAACTACATGAGGTGGGTGCTATTATTGTCCCATTTTCAGATAAGGAGACTTAAAGATAAGAGGCTCAAGACAGGTAAAATGAAGCTCTGAAGCTCTCATAGGCAAGGAGCAGCACAGGCAGGGATGCAAATCCTGGGTCTGTCTGACTCCAAGGCCTGTGTTTTTGCCATCCTGCTAGTTTTTTTCCTCAAACTGCCCCACCCCCACCCTACTGAGGCCCCTGTTGGAGTGAAAATGAGGCCTGAGTTACCCCACCCCCACCCCTGGTTTCAACCTGAGCAGTGGTGCTTTTAAATGTTTTGCATACTGGGCATCTGCCCAAGCCTTCATTGGAACAGAGCTTTGCAGCAAAATTTAAAAATAATAATATGGTTGAAACCAGAGCTCTGCATCTTCCCTGGTGACCATGCCATCTAGGAACTAGCTCTGCCTTCTCAGGGGATTTTGCCCCCACCCTCCCCACCTCCCCGGTCACCATCTCCAAACCCCTCTTCTGTCCTGAGAGCTTCTGGAGAACTCTTCATTCAGAGAACCAGCTGCTGCTGTAAGCTCTGACAGCTCTGCGGCAGGGAGACATCTTAGAAACAGACACCCCAAGGCTGAGCCCAGCCAGGCTCTGATCCTCTCAAAGATGGAGCATGCAAAGGGATTTCTCAGGGAACTGGATTCAGCAAGCCGCCCTGTCCTGTCCTTGTTCTGCTGTGGCCACAGGCAGTCCATTAAGACCCCCATCATCCCCAGAGAAGACAAGCATGATGATGATGATGGAGGTGATAACTGTACCAACAAAGGCCATCCACTGTGTTCTGGGTGACTCACGTGCACCGTATTATTTCATCCTTACAACAATCCTATCTGTTATGATGGGAATAGTTTTACTTCCATTTTTAAAATGAGAAAACTGAGACTTGACTGCCTGAAGCGACCAGCCTGAGGCCCTCTGATGCATACGCGGTGGGACTGGGATTTGAACCAAGGTCCTCTGAGTTTACCACTGTTATGCTATATGGTAACCCTAATTACAGTTGCCTCTCCCATTCCTTTTGAGGGGCTTATCATTCACCAGGTGACAAGCTTTATCACCCCAGCTCTGTTCATGACTTAGAACAGTGCAATGAAGCTGTATTATGTTATTTGCCCACCTTAGAGATGACAAAATTAGATGCAGAGAGGCCAGGCCGCTAGCTTAAGGCAATACAGCTAGGAAGAGGGGTTCAGAACTGTGTATCTGAACAGTTTGTCTCAGGAACCATGTGCTGTACTGTCTCCCAGGGAAATGAGTGCTGAGACAGCCCAGAAAGAAAGAATGTTCCCATTTCACTTGGCAAGTGGGCAGAATAATGGCCCCCAAAGATGCTCGCATCCTAATCCTTAAAGGGGTTACCTTACATGGCAAACAGTACTTTACTGATACAATTAAGGATCTTGAGATGATGAGATCACCCTGATTATCTGGGTGGCTCCAATGTAATCACAAAAATTCTGATCAAGGGAAAGGGAGGGAAGAGGCTTAGAGAGGAGAGGTGATAATGGAGTGTTGGACTGAGAGAGACAGAGACAATGTTACTGGCCTTAAAGATGGAGGAAGGGGCCACAAGCCAAGGACAGAGAGCAGCCTCTAGAAGCTAGAAAAGGTAAGGAAATCGGTTCTCCCTTAGAGTCTCCAGAAGGAGCATAGCCCTGCCAGCACCTTCCGACCTCTGAAACTGTAAGGTAATAAATCCATGTTGTTTTAAGCCACTACATGTGTTGTTAATTGTTACAGCAGCCATAGGAAACCAATATAGCAAGTCTGCCAGAGGACCTAGTGCTTCAAACACACCACTGCCTGTTCTAAACAACACAGTGTGCATGTGTGTGCATGTATGTATACATGTGCCCACACATGTGAGCACACAGAAGGGGGCCCTACAAGAGAAAGAATTCATGCTCACAGTGTCAGCTCTGTCCCTGGATGGAGTGCTTTATTCACTCCCTCTTTCTCTTTTAAGAGTCTCCAGGGAAATGCTATCATCAGGAACACAAAAGGGAAGAAGTGTCACAGGGCAGCTTTCCAGGAGCACAACTCATCACAGGGGATCCGTCAAAGACAAAACAAGTAGATGGAGCAGAGAGACAGGAGAGCAAAAAAAAGAGAGAAAGAGAAAGAGCTAAAGAGGGAGAGAACTGCTGGGTCCCTGAGCTTGGCTATGTGCCCTGACAGATCCCTTCCCATCAGGAAAGGCGAAAGTCTTGGGGAAGCCCATTAGCCCCCTTAGGGGAAAATAGATGATAACAGAGAAGATGCCTCAGGACTTGGCGAGATAAGCTTTTGAGACAAGTCAACAAGTATTACTTATTAATCAGTCAACTCAGTGTTATCAGGCAAGGCACTTCTAGGGGAAAGAAACTTGGACTTGCCTTCTGGTGTTCTGAGCTTGATCCTTGGCTTCCCCACTCATCAGCTGTGTGACCTTGGGTATGTCACTTGCATGCTCTGAACCTGTTTCCTCAACAGTAAAGGGGGACTGCGACACATTTCCCAACTACCTACCAATGTGGCTAGGATGTTTCATTAAGCAAACTGAATGAGTGTTGTATACTCTAAATGACAAACAGCAGCTACCATTTATTAAGAATGTACTGTGTGCTGGGTGCTTAACTAGGCTCCTTTCTTCCTCAAGGAATGTAGTTAAGCAACCAGCCCCAAATTACCATACGTGCTGGGGGAAGGAGCATCGGCAGAGACAGTACAGTGAAATGGTTAAAAGGCTAGATTTCAGGGTAAGGCTACCTAGGTTCCAATCTGGTTCTAACACATACAAACTGTGTGGCCTGGAGGAAGTTACTAAACCTCTCTGTGCCTCAGTGTCCCCATCAGTAAGGCGGGGATAACAGCAGTACCTAGTCATATGATTGTCATTAAGATCACA